CCAGTGATTCCCAAACTGTGCGCCGCGAAATATTGTAAAAGCTTCAATTTGAGAAAATGTGTAGTGATTTATAGGCTCATCCATCATATTAATTATTAAATATTAATTTAATGTTAATGAAGTAAAAAAAATAATGAAGATACACGAGTCTTATGTATTTTTTATCTCTTACTTACGAATAGTCATACTAAGGGTAGGGCGCCATAGAAAAATTTTAATTGAAAAAGGGCGCCGCGACTAGGAAAAGTTTGGGAGCCACTGCCCTAGTATCTTGTGTGCCAATCCACAAATGTTGTTGTTCTACTTTATCCGAATAGGCTCACTGTATACGCCTCTTCTTGGTTTCCGATTGTTACACTCTGGTCTCCTTGAGATTTCTTTTCATAAAATTAAAAATGTTACTTCTATCCAGTCATCTTCTTTTTGATGATATTGCTGTTAATGATATTTTCCGAGCTTGCTTAGGCAGTATGCAAAGTTTTCTCTAATCCTGTCATATTCATGTCTCCTGTTCATCAGATTTATTTCAGTCAGGACATCGACGGCTTCTCATATCTTGCGTTTCCTTGTACTTTCACCAGCCTTACTGTCGATTTAATGTCTCGTCCATGCGATGTTTTCCACTATTTCGGATCTTCCCGTATCCATGTTTTTGTGGGGTCTTTAGTGCTCCTTAATTCCTAAGCCTATCCATCTTCCTCTTCCACCAATATACTTCTGCTCACAGTTGCCGCATTTTATGCGATAAACTCCCGAGCAATCCAGTTTGTCAATCTTCTCGTGTTGCGTCGGCAGGCTGGTGAAAAGTGTTGTCTTCTCCTTTTTTATCACATTGATATTCTATTTCCTTAGTAAAGGTCGAAATTTTTGACTCACTTCACTGTAAGGCAGGCATATCCACTTTTAGTCGTCCTCTCGATTCTTGATCTTATTCTTACAAAATCCAAGTTTAAATCTGCTCTTTATAATCCCTGTAGTTATTTCTATAAATTCTCTGGATTACCCGTTGCTAAGATAAATCCGAGTCATTTTGTCCAAATCCTTTTCCCAGAACTACATATCCATTAGTCTTTAGCTTATGGTGATCAAACTCCTCATTATTCAGAGCTTTAATCTGATAAGACTGGAAATTGGGATTTCTTCCCCAGTTTGATTTCTTTCTTAATGTGGTGGCAACAAAAGAATTTACTCACTTAACCAGACAGATAAGAGACGGATCCTACTGAGCAAGCGGGAGACTCTGATTGGATCTGAAGGGGCACAGTGGAGGGATGTGGGAACAGGTGGAGAGCGTTAATAGGTATATACTAGGCTTAGATAAACAAGTAAGAAAATTTGATATTGAATGGATGATACGAGGGGATTGGATAGGTGAATACCCCAGGACAGAAAAGATACCACATCTGTTTAGCAGACAATTGGCCAAGGGATCGACTTCACTTGTCTCTTTGACGAGTTGTAGTGTGGTGCTAAGACTCGCAAAGCGCCTTGACGATGCCTGCGAAACGAAATTACTCACTTGGATCCCAGTATGCATATCATATAGGCCCAATGTTTTGACTTGAGTTGGAAAATAGCTACCAAAAGCCTTATGCTATGTCGTATCCAAATATTCTACCTACCTGAATGATAAAAAAAAATTGGACTATTACGTGTCAAATATTGTATTAAATTTCCTCTTAGTAATGGCAAACAAATAATCCAGACAGCCTGTTTTAGCTGATTTGCTTAGAATAACCCTGAATAGGCGCAGAAATTGATATATTTAAGGTCATACTTAGTTCTTTATAAAATATCCTATTCAAATGGAGGATGGCCTTTGATCCCAAAAGACGAATATAAGAACATAGATCAGCAGGTATCCAGAGAGAAATTGTAAAGTCAACTTAGGGATTCAAAAGACTGCCTCAATGTAGTATAGCTTGTTGAGCTTTACTCGACTCAAATTTCTCGATTCATAGAAGTCAACATAACAGACCTGTTCGCCAGACGCATAAGCTGCTCGAGTAATCATTCGTAAGCGGCAGGGGTCTGTAGGCTCAATGCACAGTTCTGGTTGTGAGACGCTTGGGTCGTGGTTAAGTAGATCGAAGAGTGGCAGTAGGCTGATTGTTGTTGGTACTGCGGCTGTCTGAAGATTGCCAGAGGAGCACAATGATAACACGGGAAGGCTGGAGACTAAAGCCATATTGGACTGAAAAAGGTTGTATGAAACCGTTTTAATACAACAAAATAGTGGCTCACTTGGTAGGACCTCAAAGTTTGTTTGAGTCTAAGTGTGTAGCTGACGCTCTGTATTGCACTGTTAAAGCATACGTGGTAAATGGAATGTGTCACATTCGTGACCACGACCTGTTTGCACAAAATTTATTCTAAACAGAGTTGGCATTACATTAAATCACGATGTAGATGGTAACAAGCAATATGCAGGGTCACAACTACTGCCTGAGTTCATGAATAATGCCGAATTAGGAATATATCTTTTGATCTACCGTGGTTGGTTAAACATTGAATAAAATTAACAATCATAGAGGAAGGAGAATGTAATTTTTAATCTGAATTAGATTAGATTATGCAAATTTATGTGTATTGGACGATTTAATCCATGGCAAGATTTATACTTGAGTGTAATGATGCCATAAATTGTTTCACAATACAGTCAGAGGAGGTGATATTAATTAAGAATAGTAACTGGGTTTCGATTACTCTCATAAGCTAACATTATTGTAGAGACTTTCATTTCGTATACAAGTACATAATGAATGGATTTCTTGATTGATCTCAAAGGAAGACGACGGCCGATGAGATTAGACAACGAATTCCCTCATGCATTTTCCTATGAAATGAAAGCCTCCACAAGGTAATATTAAGTGAATATTATATTTGGTATATATATATAAACCAAGATAGTGTAATATTTAGTTTATTAATTAGCAACTTTTATATTAAATTCATTTTCGGGACTTGGTCGGCTTGAAAGAATATACCTAATATTGAGCACTCATCCCTTGAGATCATAGGTTCTGCCGGAATTAAACCGTTGGCTAGTCTTGTTAGATCTGTATCCAAAACTAGAATCAGTTACAATATCGACGATAGGAAGAGCCATCCTTAGTAACAGACTACAACTCGTCAGTGGCAAATGAAGCTACTCAAATCAAACAACATTATAGTGAACGATCACGGCATATGTCCTTTCTCTACATTCCTTTCCTCTCACCTCCACGTTGAGGCCTGCTCATATGAATGTGTGAAAATTCAAATACCAGTCCTGCATCACCTCAAACGAAATATGTTAAACACAGTTCTTACTCGATATCTACTCATTGGTACTCTTGAAAGCGTACTTAAAAAAACGAATGCTTAAATGACCACGCTTATCGGAATCGGACTTTTAGACATATGCATCTTTAAGCATGTGGTGTTGCAAGCCAAAATGATTCAATCCCTCATGACGAGTTAAAGAGGAGGCTTAATTTTTGCAATTAATTTCATTACGCATTACAGTCCACAATTAATAGTTGGGCCAGATTCGTTGAGAACGCAATCTTGGATAAATATTGAGGTTCATCGATTGAATCAGTTCTCTCATTATCATCACGAGAAGTTGAATTACCAGAAAAACTAAAACAAAAGCTATGAGTACGATCAATAATATCAGCGTCGGATGCCGATCCTTCGAAGTCAACTATTGGACTATTCGTGAATTTTGAAAGATTTTGAGTTATTTCTAGATATGGATGTCGTGTATATTAGTTAAATAATAGTTGTGAGAATGTAGAAATGACACCACAGTTAAGTCGTATAGGATGGAAGCTCTGTTCTAATCAATATAAAGATGCTAGCTAATCATATCAAAAAAGTGTGTTGAAGTTATTTGCCCAAAGCAACCGACATGTTAACTCCTTAGATAACCCCTCAGATTCCAAGTTCACGATAGATGATGACCATTGCCGCCTTATCTTTTAAGAATAAGGAAAATAGAAAAATACAGAAAATAGTAGAATAATAACTTTATGCTTTCAATAAGTAATGCAAATCTACCAAAATACAG